CTACGCAACTAGAATCTCTCTCTCTCTCTCTCTCTCTCTCTCTCTCTCTCTCTCTCTATTTCTCTATCTGGGTTAAAGGATTCTGATTTATGAAACAATCCTTCTTCCCTCTGCAATCAACTCTCTCTATCTATCAATCTATGTTGTTACCTGTAAATTGGAGGTCTGCACTCTCTAGGTTTTTGCCTTGTTAAGAGGGCAATTTCGGTGCCCAAAATTGCAGGTATCAAACCCAATTAGGGAAAGTTCTGATTTCCGAAACCCTCGTATGTTAGAAAGGCAGGTTTTAAAATCAAGAAATGGAAGAAGCACAGGAAAATGGCAGGCATCAATTTCCTCAGAATCCCTGTGAGAACGATGCTGGAGCTGTCTTTGTCCTTGAATCCAAAGGTATTACTATTTTTTCTATTCTTTTTTTCTCTGTTTTTCTGATAAACAAGACTCATGATCGAGCTTTCTCTGACTCTCTGTGATCAACTACTTGTCTGATTATAATTTGTTGAATATTTATTGAAGTTTTCATAATAATCGTTTTGTCATTGAATCCAAAGGATTATTGCTGTAGGGTTTTTGATTGAATTGAATTGTTGTTGAATGGAATGGGAAACAGGGAAATGGTGGCACGCGGGATTTCATCTTGTGACTGCGATCGTAGGGCCGACAATACTGACGCTGCCGTATGCAATGAGTGGCATGGGTTGGAGTTTGGGGCTTCTCTCTCTTACTGCCGTATTTGCAGTCACATTCTATTCATATTCTCTCATGTCAAAGGTGTTGGAGCACTGCGAGAAAGAGGGCCGAAGGCACATACGCTTCAGAGAGCTTGCGTCTCGTATCCTCGGTACACAAACCCTCTGCTCTCTGCCTATTTGCTTTCTTTGCCTTTCCACTCTCTACAAAAAAAACAAAAAAAAGAGGAAATTATGTTGTTTTGCAGGATCGGGATGGATGTTTTACTTCGTGATTTGCATTCAAACTGCCATCAACACGGGAGTTGGAGTTGGGTGCATTTTGCTTGCAGGCCAATGTCTTCAGGTACTCCTCTCTCTCTCTCTCTAAACTCTCTCTAGTGTCCAAATCACATGATGTTTGGGTTGACTTTCTAGTTCAGAAATTCCCACAGGGAACTGAGCCGATCATGGCGATTACTCGTGTTACATTATAAATTTCGTAAATGACCTCGTGAGACCTTCCCACGTCCAAAAGGATGATCTTTAAATTTCAAAAAAAAATTTTAAAAAAAATTGAAGTTGTATACGGAGTTGAATTTTGAGATTTTTGTCAAATTTAAATGTAATCGTTTGAGTCTTAGGGTACCGGAGTGTCATAGGATCATTACTTTATAAATTTATGATATCTATAGTACATTTTTAACCCGGAGGGACGGGTGGACTCATTTCGCAAAAATAAGAACCTTTATTGTAGACACTTATAGCAAAAATAATGATGACCTTTATTCTAGGATAGTTATCTATCTTTAGGAGGAGAGAGAAAGTCCTACACTCTTATATTAAGAAGAGTAAAGAGAGAAAAAAGCTGGAAATAATAAGAGAATTCTAAAAAAACTAAAAAATATTCAAATATTGTTTATTTTTAAAGATATTTTAGAAACTAAATTAATGAGTTAATAAATCCAAGATATATGAAAAAAAGAAAGGGGGAGGTATGTAGAAAGAGAGAGGTATGTAGAAAGAGGGAAGGAAATATATAGAAAGAGAGGGAAAGAAACGGAGTATGGAGAGAGAGTAGGAAGGCCAAAAGTTAAATATTAAAATCTAAAGGAAAATTGTTTCACGTGGGCAAGACCGCATTTCTACATATACGGTCCAGAAATTGTAAAGCATCCTTCTTAAAGATGGATGCAAGTAGGTGTTCACCCTAAAAACAATAGAAACTAGTGGTCCAAATGTTCTTTTTACTAGAAATATTATTTTTGGTTTTTAAACTTTATTTATTTTTTCATATTCATGATCCCACATTAGAGATTACATGTCTTTAAAAATTATGTTGTAACATCCATCTCAAAAATAGATTTATTAAGGGCCTATATTTCTACATATGCGGACTTGGCCGCATAAAAACCAGGTCCAAAACTAAAAGAATATCTCCCTCCCTCCAAGCAAGGGTAAGAATTCTAATTTTGTCAAGAGATGGAGAGAAAATAAAGAGAGAAGAAAAACACTAAGATGCGGAGAGAAAATTTTCTTGGAGATGAAAGACGGTATTTTCATTGGCCTTGTCCTATTTTCAATGAAAACTTGCCCAGCTTTCCTTGCCCTTCATTATTATCTAGAGTGTACATGTGCACATAGTCATAGTAATGCCCTTCATCAAATCTTTGTCAGGAAAGTACTTTTGGTAATTAAAATCTCCATGATGGTTTCAAAATCAATTTCCAACACCAACAATAAAATTTGAAATTAAAAAAAGAGTACAAATCTAGTAGATCTATGAAAACTTATTTTTAGGGCAAAATGGACGGCCTAGATAATTGTTGCAATATTCACTATTTTTAGAGCTTTAAATTATTATTTTTTTTCACAAACATAATATTCAAGCCGAGATGGTCGTAAAAGTTTTCCAATGCTTGAATTGCAATTTCCAATAAGTTATGAGGTAAGGTTTTGCTTATTTTGGTAAGACTGCATCACTATCAAACCATTTTCCTTAAGTAAATAAGCACCTAAATTTTAAGGTCCAGCAATTGGTTGGTTTGTGTGCAACCCTATGACGTGATTTTTTAGGTAAAAGTCTCTTAAGAGACATCTGATATAATTGGAACGACACAAGGAAGATTATTGTAGCCCTTACAATAGCAAAAAAAAAAAAAAAGGAAAAGATTTTTTACGGCCGGATCCAAGTTGTAACAATTTCTTTTAAAAATCTTAGGCAGGCAAGTTGAGTAGGTTGCATCTCAAATTTTGGGATCCTAAACATGCTCCTTTTGCTAAGGGAAAAAAGCCGTGATTTAAAAATGGATGGTTGACCCAAATTGGGCACCCTAAAAACCGTTCTAGACCGGTGATTTGGTTATCCAGATTGTCCGAAAAAATAGTAAGCTGGCAAAAAAACACGAAGAAAAAATATTGAACCGAGCAAAATCCGGTTTGGATCAGTGAATCGGCAGTCCGGGATCGCCGTTTTACTATAGACTTTAGAGAATCATTGTTTTACTACATAATCAACAGTCCCCTGTTTAGATTCGATCATTTTTTTATATATTCACATATTTAAAACAGAGTAACTGATTTCTAAGTCAGACCCAATTATGGGATACTCGAAGGTTTTTAAATCACTAAAACAAGACGCCCCTTGTACGCTTTTGGTTCTTCAAAGAGCCTCGGATCGTGCACCCCCTCAGCTTTTTTTTTTTTTAAGGTATTAAACTATTAATTTTATTCCACCCACTCATGGTCTTTTCTTCTCTCGGCTTTCGGCGTTACTTGAGATAAGAAATGGGTTTCTCTAGGTTTCTTTTTGGAAGAGATTACTTGAGATAAGAAACGGGTTTCTCTAGGTTTCTTTTTGGAAGAGATTTGCAGCAATTGTCAATGGTTTTCGTATTACAAATAAAATAAGAAACAAAAGCTCTTGATATATCAGATTGCAATATATTCACATAGTTCTAAGTATTGGTTTTATCCTTTCATTATCTTCACATCGTCAAAAGTGTCGTTTTCTAGATGGAACGTCCCTTTTGTTGGAAGGATTTATGGGGAATTTTGGTTTTTATTTGTGGCATTCAGATGTGATAAGAGTCTTAGTAAGATCAAAATAGATACATAGATTAAATAGGAGCCCTTCCCGGATGGGGAATCTAAGAAGGTGCACGTTTATATAAAAAGGATTTATAGAGAGAGACCGATGAACTTGAACTTTAGTTAAGAGAATCACATTCCTTTGTCTTGATTCTCTTTTTCTCTTTTTGTTTTCACTCCTTCCCAACCCCAATGTATCTTTTTTTTTTGCCTACATGACTATTTTTTGTTTTCCCTCCTTCCCAACCCTAATGTCTCTTTTTTTTGCCTACATCCATAACTGACATGCCATCCCCATCAAAGAATTAGGGGATTTGAGTTGTGTATATTTTGTTTTTGGTTCTAGTAATTAAAAGCCGATTTGAGGTTGCAAGCATCAACTCTCAAATTGATAGAACTATGCTATGAAGGAATAGAAGGAACAACACCAACTACAACAGGGTTATCAGATTCAAAATTGTGTTTGACCTCTATTTGGTCCTTTAGTTTTGTGTTTCCATTATATGTAGCATGCATTGTTGAATCCAACATTGACATCAGAGCCATTGCAATTAAGATTCACCTCTAAGATTCAATAACCTATTTGGATGGTGCTCAAAAATAAAAATTTTTTTGGAGAGGTTATCGGCTTATTTTCATGCTCTTCACCTTTTTCTCTGTAGCAAGAGAAGGCCCCTGTGGCTGTCGGATGTGAACAGGGGGTGTGTGGTGCAATCACCGCCACGATTGGCACACATAGGGTGCACACTATCGCACTGAATGCATGTTGGGCACAGTCTGCATGCCCTAGAACTATGGTGGTCCTACACAATTGACCGCCATGGATCCACATAGGCCGTGTGGACACGTGCAGTTTGTGCGAGTGCGCATAGAGTCTGTATCCACAGAGGGCTATCGGGTGCAAACCCACTGTGTGGACGTGCAGAGGACCCCAATGGTACACAAGCAACAAATGGCATGCGCAACATGTGCATTATTGTGCAACCCGATGCGCACTCATATAAAATGTGTAATTGAGCACATGCCACACGTGTGCTAGATAGTAGCTGGTGCAACATATGTGGAGCATGTCAAACGTCGAAGGCACATATGTGGATACACATGCAAAATAGCACACGTGCATGGCCTGCTCGTCGTGGAGCACATGGCCTGGAGCCACAAGATTACCGGTTCAGGATAGTTGCATGTTTCTTGTGTGTCGCAACCACTTCGTTATAATGGACTTTTTGGGTGGCCTCGAGGTCACACATAAGAGGTCGTATCAAAACCTAAAGCTGAACAAGTGCCACTGTATCTGCACTAGTGAACAATGAAGTTTACTCGGCCATGGTTGCACAATAGCATTATGCGGCCTCAATGAAGCAAAATTAGACCCTTTAGAAGGGCATAACTTTGCATCCAAGTGCCCATTTTCGACATGTTATACATATTTTTGGGGTAGCTTACAAAGTAGAATGCAATCAATAGGGTCCCATCTAGTAATTGCGCCCCTAACACCCATTTTTCTGGCCTTGAAAGTATATTATGTACTTTGACACTAGTTGTATGCCATCGGTGTCAATAAAACATAGGCAATCTGATTGGATAGTGACTGCAATTAGCTTTCCCTTTCTTTGTGGTAATATTGTATCATGGATGTAAACACATGCTTGATGTCTAGGATAAAAAATCCTCTCTCTCCCAATTTTGACCCGATGTTGATTACCAGCTGGACCCTTTTTTGGATGAGCAAATATTTCTTTCGGATTACTTTTGAGAGTACGATGTTTTAGATTCTTGAAGATTCAAATGAGTGTCACAAATGATGGTACACATATGTGAATATCTAACTACAATGGGTTTGAAGAAGTGTTTGTTGACCTCCTTAGAGGGGAGAAACTAGATGGTAACAATTAGGTCATTTGGCATAAAAAAAATCCAGCACCTACATGATGAGCATGGTGTATGTGACTTTCAGTATGACCTACCCTTGTGGAAGAAAAGGCGGCCCAAACACATCCTGATATGGAAGCCTACTAGGCATGACTCTAAAGAGGTTGTTCGACATGATTTACAAGGTTTAGAAGCATGCATGATAATCTAATTGGTCTGTTTGACAGCTATTTGATGGCTAGGGAGATGTAGCATGCTTTGTAGCTTTAGATCACTTGCACCTTAGCCACTTGGAATCGTGCACTCAAGTGAGCATTCCAAACATTTAAAATGCCACCAAATGTTTCCATGACAGAGTATTTGATGTCACAAAGGATATGTGACCTGAGCGTCACTGAAGACATC